ATTTTCTACAAAATGTTTTGGAATTTCAGTTTGAGAAGTAAAATTAAATTCCAGAAAAAATCTCAATTTCTTATTACTTTTGGAAGTTTTCTTATTCTGAATTTCAAAAGTCAGATATTTTCAGTTTTTAAAGATCAGAAAATGTGGAGATTTTTCTAGAAATTGCTGATATTAATCTCACAATTTCTGAGTTTTTTCCTCAAGTTTTTGACTTTTGGAGTTCGGAAATTCCTTTTTCTAGAATTTCTTCTAGCGGACATTTGCTCCTTTTCTTCTATGTACGGCGGCCAGAGCCGTCACCCCTGCACTCCGACTGCTGCTTGTTTAATTATTAACCAAATTGATGGTCAACGGTCTGAATCTCACTTTAAAGACACCAAGGCGTCAGAGAAGGTGTCGATCTCCCGGTTCTCTACATCTGGATCCAGATCCGGTGGATCCGGTGGATCCGGGTCTCACCTGAACATTGGATCAGCGTGGAGCAGCTCAACAGGAAGCCCAGATTCGCCGACATGGACGACAACATGTCTGCCTCCGGAGCGTCAGTCCTCCGGAGAAATGAAGGTCCAGCTCATCGATCGACTTTTAACCACAGTTCAAATATTGACTCACAGCAGAACCGCGAACAACGAGACAGAAAAGACCAAAAGTTCTGGCAAAACGTTCGGTTTTCATCACTCACCTATACAGCAGGAGGTCAGAGGTCATCTTCTTCTGAGGAAGAAGAGTGATTGTTCATTCAGTGGGAGCAGCAGTTGGGTTTGTTATTGGTGCGGAAAACCAACATCCTGCAAGACAAGCTACAGGGAAAACTTAGCCCACCGTGATTTCAACACCAGAGAGTTTCCTCTTTAACATCAGCAACAAAAACAAAAACCGCTTTCACATCCCAACCTGGAGTTATTTGATTTATTCAAACGGGTCAGAACAAAATGTTCAGGAAATAAATTACACCGTTTCATAAATGTTTTCATGTTGGAGTGAAAATTTATGACTCAGCTGCTTATCACAAGACAATAATCTTTAATAATAAAATTATTTAAATCTTTTACTGCTGCAGGTTCCTCATCTCAGAACCAGTTTCTATAAACTAAAACTCTACATCAGGATGCGTTCACTTACCGTCGGAAACTGGGACTCTGCCTTGACATCTCGCATAAAATATACTGCTCAAAAAATAAAGGGAACATTTCACTTTAATTTTGTGTGTGGCTCCAAATCCAGGCCTCCATTGGTTAATAAATTTGATTTCCATTGATGATTTTTGTGTGATTTTGTTGTCAGCACATTCAACTTTGTACAGAACAAAGTATTCAATGAGAATATTTCATTCATTCATTCAGATCTAGGATGTATTTGAGTGTTCCCTTTATTTTTTTGAGCAGTGTATAATCCCCAATTTAATTTATGTTTATCTTATTGCTGAATTTGAGAAACAAATGAGAAGCTCTGGTTCCGACCCAACAGAAATCAGAAAGTCTGAAACCAGTTAGAAAAGGGTTTTCATCCTGACTCAAACTGGTTTCAGACTTTTTTGGAACAAGTTTAAAGCTGAAATAATTGCATAGATCAGGTTTGTCCAAAGTGCGGTCCGGGGGCCATTTGTGGTTCTCAGAATGATTTTGGACGGCCCTTTACTTGATCACGATCCAAGAATGAAACGTGGTTTTGCCAGGTCAGGCATTTTGATGCAGATTCACATTTAAAAACCAGCCTTTCAAAATAAGAGATAATTTAACATCTTACCATGGAAACTGTGAGGTGCAACCAAAGTATTCATCCAGGTTTCTTCTTTGAATGTAACAGTAAAAGGGAAAACAAACATCCAGTTTGACTACAAACACTGATAAATACATGGATTTTTAATAAACTCAACAATTTTTTGTTGCTGAAAAGACAAAAGAAATAAAAAATCTGGAAAAAGATTAAAAGTTTAGAATGTTTTATGTTTGAAGGACTTTTTAGCTGCAGATGCATCTTTTGCGACAATCACTAATATGTTTTATTACCCAAAACTGTATTTTAGGTAATAAATATATTATTTTAAGAAGTTCTTTGTTTGAATCCTGAAGTTGAACTCAGTGAAGCTAAAAGGAAAAGCGAAGCGTTTCAGAGGAGAAATGAAGTTTATTTATCTTCCACAGGTTTCTGTGTATCTACAGTGACGGCCCAGCAGGGGGCGCTCCTACCACTGGAACAGTGTCACGGTTTATAAATTACACAATAAATACAGGCAGGATCAGACCAGCACTGCACCGCGCCCTGGAGCAAGGCACTGAGGAGGAGGAGAAGGAGAGCACATCTGGATCAGGACGACTCTGGGTCTGGATCCAGAGGTTAAAACACACATCTGGATTCAGAACCTGGAAAATATTTAAACACTTAAATTCAGGGCATGAGGCACAAACATCAAAGAATCGGAAACATCTGGATCCAGACTGAAACGTCTGTACCAGGACTAAGAAATTCTGGGTCTAGAATGTGAAATGCTTGGATGGAGATTTGGAAACATCTAGATCACGAATGCAACACATTGGTAACATGAAACACCTGAAGAATCTGGATATCAGGATCCAGAATCTGAAACATCTGGACTGTGAAATATGTGTAACAGGATTTGAAAGCATCTGGAAAATCCAGATGCAGACATGAAAACATCTGAAGCTCAGAAACATCTGGATCCAGAGGTGGAGAGAGCTCTAAGATATTAGAATCCAGGACCAAAAACACGTGGATGTAAACCTGTATGGATCTGAAACCAGATCCAGATCCAAACTCGTACATCTCAGGATCCAGATCCACACACGTACAGATCCAGAATTTGAAATATTTAAAAGAGAACTCAAAAATGTCTGGAACAGACAAAAACATCTAGATCAAAACTCAGAGACATCTGGGCCCAGACTGTAAAACAAATGGATCTAGATGTTTATGAATCTGGATCCAGATGTTAACCATCTATAATCTGATCCAAACTTTGGAATATTAGGACCCAGAAACAGAACAATCTGTTCCAGAACCTGACAGATCCGATATGTCCACCGGGTCCAGAAAAGCTCGGATGAAGATGCGGAAACATCTGGAACCAGACTGAAACACCTGGACAATGAAAACATGGGAATCAGGAGTTAGTCCAGACTCTGGGGAATCTGGAGCGGGTTCTGGAAACGTCTGGGTCCAGATTAAAACTGGAACCAAACACAAACAATCTGGAGCCAAACATACAAACATCTGGAACAAGATTTGGAAACTTCCTAATCTAGAATCTGAACATCAACTGTAGAACGATAAAGATCAGTAGAAAAATGAAGCTGGAGAGAAAAAAAGAAGAAACAAACAAACACACCATGATCTGAGATCAGCCGGTTGACCTCTGACCGGTTGACCTCTGACCGGCTGACCTCTGACCGGCCGCTGCGTCTTTAAGGCACCCATCGATAAATGTTCAGGTAAACTCTTTGAATCTCCACCAGATTGATCAGAAGGTTCAGTCTGTGATTGGTTGCCCCCTGCTGGTGCATTGCAGGCCTCCAGGGGGCGGGACTTCCTGGAATCTGACCAATCAGATCCAGCAGGGCGGTTCTGAACTGTTCAGAACCCAGTCAGGGTTCTGCTCCAATCTGATGGGTCGTTGTAGTTTCAAAATAAAACATTTTGGACCCAAAACCGTTGATGAGGCTGAAATGTTGGATCGGGTTCTGACCGGGTTTCATCAGAACCACAGCTGGTGTGAATCCTGTAAACTGGTTTAGTCCATCCAGAACCACAGGCACAGCTTTCTGGTTCTGGTCTGGGTGTTTGGGACATTAAAGGTTTGATTTTCTTTAAAGGGTTCTGCTAGGTTCTGGTCCAAAACGGCAAACCCGGGGAGGTTCTGTTGGGTCGGCTGGCTCACAATATTCACCTAATAGTTCAGTGGTTCGGTTCTGGCTCACTCTGACCCAGAATCCAGCTCACAGAGCTGCTGCTGGACCTTGCTGTCGTGGTTCTACCAGAACCTGGTCAGGGTTCTGATCCAGTCTGAGAGGAATCTCCACCATCAACAGAACTCAGAACCAGTCTGTGGTTCTGTTGGAGCAGAGGAGATCCGGTTCTAATCGGTACTTGAAGATGTCATGATCCAAATGCATCGCCTCAACTGGGCTTGAGGTCCAGTTGGTTCCGACTCACCAGAACCTGGTGTCGCCTCCAAGGAGAGGCCCGTTGAAACATCCTGGTCCTGATCCGGACCCATCTGATGGTTCTGGTTCTGATTCTTTTTTTGGACTGGTGATTCTGGTTGGAGAGGGAAGGCACTCATGGATCATCTGATTGGTTCTTCTCCGGGAGGTTCCTGTAAAAGGTTCTGCCCGGTGTTTCTGAGGGCCGGTTCTGGTTCTGGTCCCGGTCGGGTCCGGTGGTTTCTGGCTGGACAGGGCGGAGAAAGGCAGCAGAGGTAGGAGGACAGCGGACAGCGGTTCCTAAGCAACAAAACAACAACCCAATTACAAAGAGGCGGGACCAGAACCGGAGCGAAGGACATCGGGTCCAAATGGACCTTCAGAACCGACCTGCAGGCGGCTAGGCCTCGCTGGCGCTGCTGCTCCTCGTCAGCTCCTTGACGCCCTGCAGGATCCGCTTCATGTGTCCAACCTTCGTCACTCCGAGGTCCTGGAGGCGGACGGCAAGACGGACTGAGACCCAACGGACCGACCGACCAGCATCCGACCAACATCCATCCAACATCCGACCAGCATCCGACCAAACATCCGACCAAACATCCGACCAGCATCCGACCAAACATCCGACCAAACATCCGACCAACATCCGACCAGCATCCGACCAACATCCATCCAACATCCGACCAGCATCCGACCAAACATCCGACCAAACATCCAACCAACATCCGACCAACATCCGACCAAACATCCGACCAACATCCGACCAACATCCATCCAACATCCGACCAGCATCCGACCAAACATCCGACCAACATCCATCCAACATCCGACCAGCATCCAACCAACATCCATCCAACATCCGACCAGCATCCGACCAAACATCCGACCAGCATCCGACCAAACATCCGACCAGCATCCGACCAACATCCGACCAGCATCCGACCAAACATCCGACCAACATCCGACCAAACATCCGACCAGCATCCGACCAAA